ATCTAGCCCTGAGGAAGGTTATCCAGGTGAAGTTTGTGCAACCTTTTGACAAGTGGAAATCATATATTCCAAGCTGACTCTGAACAACAGTGTTGTAGATGGGGTAATTTTCATCTCACTTGCTTCTAATACTGGGATCTTCATTAACCTTTGGTTAAGAGCTATAAATCAATGACAGAAGTTCAAGCGCCACTCACACACACTCATCTTAAGGGAACTCTGGTAGATTAAAATTGAACCAGCTTTGTGTACATCAGAGAGAAAGCTTCAGACACAAACTTCCAGCAGCAAGCATCTTCACAGGCTGTCGTACCACTCTGCACCTTTTTGGTGCTTCAGAGAAATCAAATGTAATCCGAGACTAGAAACTGAAACATTACTACTGAATCATCCAGTCTCCATGCCTCAAATACAATGTCAAATAGAAAGAATGCTGAGAGTGATGAAAACCCATAGAGCCAGAGGCTGAAGGTGCTCTTGGGATAGCTTAGCCAACAGAAATGACCTCTCACATGGAATAAGGTTCAGATTGGCTTTTTTAGACTACTTGTTTAAATTTGTAATGTTAATTTCAGATATACAAAATGTAATTTTGTTGTTTATTGTTGTCAGGATAGGTAACAGATGAAATCAACAAAGCAATAGCAGGTCTGAGGGCTACAAGTGGGTCAGTTGGTTACAGGAGTTTTAACATTGAAAAAAGAAGGTAGTCAACTCAAGCAAACTACATGGCCTATTATGTAACAAAAAATGTTGGTAGCCATAGAAGCATTGTATTTATCAACAATTCTATCAAATTAAAAAAAATTCAGTCAAGTAAAACTTGGAGGAAATTATTCACAAGAAATGGATTGTCTTTGTTCTGATCAGGAAGCATTACTATGTTCTGAAGTAATTTATCTCATCTTCTTTATACTGTTTAAGTGCTTATTGGGACACCTCCAGATCGATAGGTTCACCCTGATCTCGGGATATGGTTTGGTCAGCCAGATATCTGATACATGTGGAACTCCATCATCAAGCTCAAGATTATCCAACCAAGGTTGAGAATCCCACACATGTATGCCAACTGCAGATAGAAATGTTTGTGTTTACCTAATTTCAGAGAGTATTAGGGACAAGTGAGCAAGAGCCAGAGTGTGCGTTGGGGTCCTGTTGGAATTTAACCAGCTAAGACCCCATTGACTGATCTTAGTTAGAAATTTGCATCTCACGTGGCTTTAGTTGCCAAACTCGTGAGTAAAAAAAATGTATTGTTCGTGGTCAATCCATTTACAGATAATCCAGCAGCAGTGAAAACATCCAAGTTCATGGATGGGAATGGAGAAGGAAGAATTTCAGCCTATCCCTTCCAATGAGAAAGCATTGAGGTCTAGGCTAATGAAAAAGTGTATTTTCAATTTATTTTCTATTGCCTAGCAGACACCTGTCTCAGGGAAAAAAAAGACATAATTTGTTTGCACCTTCCTCCATTCTTATGGTTCTCCAATACTCGCCCAAAACAACAAATTACATTTGTATAGTGGCTTTCACATCGGGATGATGTCCAGGGCCCTGGACAGTCAAGGGTTTGCAACCGAGCTGGGATTGGAATCAAAAGGGGGAGGACAAGGGGGTTGGGGGATGGCCAAAGGCAGCACAGTCAAAGAGGAAGGTCTTGTGACAAGTCAAAAATAGATTGGTACAATTTAATGGATTGCATCTCCAAACAAAAAAGTGTTTTCTGACAGAATTCAGGCTATGGATAAAAATGATCTATTCTCACAGCTTGCAGGGTACATCAATGCGGCTGTCTTAGTTGTATTTGAAATGAAAAATAGATACATTATGCATTATATATATACACCCACATACATTTTTTATATATAAAATATACATACAGATAAAACTTTTTAAAATTAATAGGTTCCTGTTCTGGTCTAAAAACATAAAACTTTGTTTACTATGAGATTCCACAAATCATTAATTTAGTCTGAAAAAAATACAAAGCATCAAGTGCTTATTTGCTTCCAAATATATTGTATTCCTCTCAGGCATTGCACTGCCTATCCAAATTGGTACCATCATACATAGTGTGGGTGGAGGGCAGGTGGGTCAGGCAGAGAGAAAGTATTATGCTACATAGTTGACAGTGAGGCAACACTTTCTACCAATTATTATTTTTTGAAAATACCTAGCCACAAAATAAAATCCATAGAAACAAGCCACCATGTTTTCAAATCAAATTTACAGGCAAAAGGACAGTATATTCTGGGAAATGCTTTGAGATGTCTTGAAGACGTAATAAGGCGCTATATCAAATGCAAGGATTGTTATTATTAGGCCAAAGTCTGCACTGGCTCTCAGAGCAAGGCATTCATTGAATCCCATTGAACCTAAACATCTTTCCTGATGTGAGGTGCCCAAAACTGAACGCAGTACTCCAGTTGCAGCCTAATCAATAATTTGTACAAACTCACCCCCAATCCTTTGCTTATGCGTCCTTTTACACCAAAAATCTTTTCTTTTTCTCCCAGGCCTTTACATTTGCTGTCACTTTCAAGTCACTTATGTAACTGTACTCCCAAGACAGTCCCATGTTAAACAGTCGTCTACTTTATCATTTTAAGTAAAAATAAGCCTTAACAACTAACTCAGAAATTTGTATAAGGACACAAATTGTTTTTGCATAGATTTCAAACTAAACCGTTTGCAAATTCAAAGTAAAACCAGAACACTTAACTGCTCTATTATGGTTTCAGACCAGAACAGAGGTTTATTATGCTCTTGGGGACTTTAGTAAGGATGGAATTAAAGAATACAAATATTCTGCTCCATGTTACACACTGTGAATGGTACATTTGAGAAGAAGCTTTGCTCAAAAATTCACTTCACTATTTCAAAAACCATTATGCTATTCCTATTTTCTTCCTGAAGTCGTTTGAGAGTATAAATTCCAACAAAATAAGCCAAGGTTTTGTGCATTTGGCTCAGCCTTCAATTCCTCCCTATTTAAATTATTTTTTTGTTTAACTTTGGAAATAGTGCCAGATGTTACCGCTGCAGGAGCAAACCAATATAGCAGGAGCCCAGGGAGGACAAGCTCAGACTTTCTATGTACACAGGATTGCCTGACAGAGAAAATACACTGGTCACTGCCAAAACACTCTGCAAATGCGTCAGTGAAAAAGACATCTTCATTTGAGACACTTAATGTTCATAGATGTTAGGTTTTGTATCATCATTCACTTTACTTCCAGGCCTTGGAGAGGGTGCAAAGGAGATATGGAGTCCTGTAGCTCAGTGGTTAGAGCACTCGTCTTGCAAGCGAGACACCTGGGTTCAATTCCAGGCAGAGGGCGAAACCTTGGGCAAGTTTCCTTACTCCACACACCTAATAATAATCCCTCCAAAACAAAACAATAATAAATTGGTCATTTTCAATCCACGACTGTTTGTGGGACACTGCTGTGCGCAATTGGCTGCTGCGTTTTGCCCACAAATATACAGTCAATTCACTTTACGGCATATTCTGTGAAGCGCTTTGAGACGTTTAGAAGACGTGAAAAGCGCTATATCAAATGCAAGGATTATTATTATTATATACCAGAATGGTACCAGGGATGAAGGACTTTGTTATGTGGAGAGACAAGAGTGGCTGGGATTGTTTGTTCTCCTTACAGCATAGAAGGTTAAGGGGAGATTTAATAGAGGTGTTCAAAATTATGAGGGGTTTTGATTGACCAAACAGGGAGAAACTGGTGGGTGGGTCAGTAATCAGAGGACACAGATTTAAGATAATTGGCAAAAGAACCAGAGGGGAAACAAGGAAAATTTGTTTTACCCAGAGAGCTCTTACAATCTGAATGTACTACCTGAAAGGGTGGTGGAAGCCAGTTCGATAGTAGTTTTCAAAAGGGAATTGGATAGGTGCTTGAAAAGGATAATTTTGCAGGGTTATCGGGTTGGAGCAGGGGAGTGGGCCAAGTTGGATAGCTCTTTGAAATAGCAGGCACAGGCACAATGCGCCGAATGGCCTCCTCTGTGCAGTACGATTGTAGGATTCTATGATTAAAGGCCTTGAAAGTTAAGACCCAAGCTTGCTAGATATCTGGAGCAAATTTAAAGCTTTATTAAAGTCTTAAATCACTTTTGTTTCAGTTGCTCATAGAAGTTGAGCATGCTGTTACTCGCTGATAAAAAGGCTTGGCGTAATCTATTTTTCACGGAGACCTATTTCTCATAACAAATGCCATATTTCATTGACATGGTTTGTCGGGGAGGGGGTGAGGTGGGGGGTAAGAGCAGAGAGAAAGAGGTTGGGGGTGTGAAAGATGAAAACTGTTTAAAGGTTTTGTTTGAACCTTGCGCTTTAAATCACTTCTCAGAACCTTAGTTGAGAATCACACCCACTGAAATGTTCATTATAACCATAGCAACATATGGTACAAGAGCTTATAGGATTTACTAATGAGATCAGGTGACTCAGACACCCCACCCGATCCTTGGATTTAGCAGCCAGTTACACAAACAACCACAGCATCTTTATCTGCACTCCTGCTAATAATACAGGTGGATATACGGGTGAACTGTACCAGAAGGAATAAAATTAACACAGAATTTCATCGAAGGTAGCAGATTCTGTATTAATACTTAAAGTACTGTACTTTCATTGGCCTTTTGCTGACGATTTAAAAGAAAATGATTTAATGACATTCCATAAAACAATGAACAGTAAACTCAACACATTTCTGGATAGATAACATAAATTGGCTCTGAAATACCTACAAGTTACTCTTTGTTAATTTGGGATTACTGAAAAACTCTTAACAGTTAATTCAATAAACAATAGCATGCAGAGTCCAACATTTAAGGCAATTCAAAACTTTTCACCATTGTATTTTGTTGTCATGGTACGACAGAAGGGATTTATCCTCAATATTGTATAGCTGAAATAATGAACACTTGGAAGATTTCCAGATTAGAATATGTGCTATACAAAAAAAATCGAAAGTACTTACCATGAGGAAAAGGATTTGGCTGTACTACTGCTAGGAAAGCACGCGCCATCTGAAATAGGATTCCTATAGGTCCAGGATCATAAAATATATTAGTTTCATATTCTCCAGCAAATACATCCCCAAGATTCAGTTCCGTTGGTTCAATGATGTAGTTCCGTGACTGGCTTTTACCTCCAGTTCTACTACAAAGCATCAGCAAAAGCATTCCCACTGCTCGAACCATGACTGCAAAAGTACAATCACCAGATCAAAATCCTAAACAGATTTCCTCTTTAGAGCTAACTGAAAGAGAAAAGTGTTATTCATCCACGGCAGGAAAACAAAATATTCTGGATGAATTTCCGCCTCTTCACTTCTGTGTTTGCATCATTTCATACAACTTCCATATCAATATTCTGAAGCGAAATATGTGGAGGTCTCTCAGTCCTTCAACCAGTCTTCAGAAATGCACTCTGATTCCAAACGGCAGCGAATTGCTATTCACGCTCTCTGCAGAGCTGCTTTAGCACACCATCTCTGGCAATAACAGAAAATGACAACTGAAGAGGTGGTTCAAGATTCAGCTGTCTCAGCTCGTCCAACTAATGCTCAGCAGAAAGCTTCATCCGTAGAGAAAGCCTAGGTCAACACACCCACAGGCAAGTGTCAGCTGGTAAAATGCCTGGAAGACATCAATCTGTAACAGAAAATCCAACAATTTAGACTGACATTTAGGATTGCATGTAAATGCATATATTCTAGCATATAATGGGAAATACTGTGGGGACTTTTCAATAAAGAAAATAATTCATTAACATTAAAATTTTTCCCACAATTAATAAATGTGGCAGGCACCAGCACAAAACACAGTGTCAGCTCTACACATACAACATAAATTTACATAGCACGTTTCACATCAGGAGTACTAACTGGGTTCCTGAGCTTGGAGTGGGAGCCAAAAGGAGGTAGGAGGGGAAATATGACATAAAGAGCAGTTATCTCCGGTTATAAAGTTGCCTGAAATACCTAATGATATTTTTAGCAATATAATGGTCCGAATAGTCAAAACAACTCTATTTGTTCAAGAGTTTTGTTGTTAAACTGAATATTATTGCTTTAATAATAATCCTTGAATATGATACAGCACCTTATCATATCTTCAAAGTGCTTCACAACAACAACATTACATTTGTAAAGCACCTTTCACGTCGGGAGGACGTCCCAAGGTGCTGAAATACACTCTGTAAAGTAAATTGATTGTATGTTTTGTAGGCGACACCCGGTAGCCAATTGAGCAGTGTCCGACAAACAGTGTCACACACATGGATTGAGTGACCAAATTACTATCATTTTAATTTTTTTTGAAGGGATTATTACCTTTACAATACCGTTCCTAATATAAAATTAAAGAAATCCTGTATCTAACTTTTTCATGTATATTATAAAAAAATCTAATTTTCTTCAATCATTGTATTTATAAGCAATGTTTTACATAACATATACAAGAAGCTGAACACAATAAAGGTTTTTCACAACTTTTACTTCTGTTTCAAAATTTCTGTTGCAGTACAACACAGGAAACCAATCTAGCTCGAAATAGTTTGGCAAACCAACTTCAGGAACAGATCAGCCCAAAATAAAAACCCACCTTATATTTAGTCATTAGGACAGGAGTAAAGCTTGCCCAAAGCTCTTAAAATACTAATACATTTACCTTCTCACAATAGGATTTATTTTGTTCCAGGATCATAAAATACATTAGTCATTCAATCAGAAAACTACAGTTTTGTCCATGATTTGCAATCTTGTCTAGTCGTGTGAATACACCACACAGAGTGCAAGGACCTCTCCAGAGTGAGAAAGGAAAAGAATCACCTCAAAGAACTCTCAGAACATTTCAGTCAATTCTACAACAACTTATCTTGCCAAATTCTGGACGGTCTGAAATGCTGCATAACATTAGCAAATTTAGCCCCAGGTAGAATTTCTCCCCATTGCTTTTTCAAAAATAGTGGAGAAAGAAAGTGGCGCTCTAGCACATAAGGTTTCCCGATTATATTCCAAATGTAAAGGCCCGTATTGTAGCTGTGGTAATGGATTCAATAAGTTTCCCATGAAGAAAATGATATTTTCATCAAATCCAGCAGATACATGATCTGGGCTGTTCTTGCACACCGCCCTGGGCCTGGGAGAATTGCAGCATAAACAGAAGCCCTCAGAACAGCCCATGGAATTTCACTTGTGCCCGTAAAGAAAACAAATGCTTTTGTTAGTGAGAAAGAAAATCAGTTTGTTTGCACATTGAAATGGATTAGTTGCCACCAGATCTCAAAGCTAACATTGGTGAATTTTGACATTGCTAATCAGATTCTGTTTTAACCTTAAAAACAAGTGTGCTTCCTTATAATTGGAGAAATAAAGCACCTTACACATAAATGTTTGAAATCATTTTTAGTTCAAAATGAAGTGACTTTTATGTAGGCAAACAAGCTAATTTGTGCCAGTAGCATCCCACAAAAAAAATAAGATGAGCAGCCATTTAATTTGAATGTTTCGGGTGAATTTGGTTGAGGAGAGAACAGGGCAATCAAAGGAAATGTTCCACTTTTCTTTGTACAGAAGCAGCAGCAGGTGAATCCCTGGACTTGAATCACAAGACAAATGGGAGTAAATCAATGACCCACTTGAAAAATAAATTGAATTTGCATCACAGGAAAAACCCATCTTTAATAGGTTGTCAAATCATTTGCATTATTTGATTGATTTAGTGTAGTGTCATGGGACACTCAACTTTTCCCACTTCAATGAGTAACTGATTTCAGCCTATCTGCATGGGGAGATGCCAATTGAGAATGCAGCACCTTCCCACAAGATGTTGGGATTTTAAGACAGGCTCATCTCAGATGCCTTATGCGATTGAACTTCAGAGGAGCAGATGTACAGATCTGAAGAAGGTCATCTGCCCATCTTCGCAGTTGCAGATACTGGATGACTGGATTGTGGCAAGGTATAAAGGAATTTGTACGATGAAAAAGAAAAGTACCATTCTGGAAACATGCCTACACATATGCAACCCCTTTTATAAAAATCCTCTATATATCCATTTGCTTCGGGCAGTGTGGAAGAACAGAAAATAGAATCCATTAGCAAAGCACTTTATTCCATTTACTTCATAACACTGGGGAATGAAATTGACGATAATTCACTGAACAAATAGAAATCACTGTAATGAGCGCCACAATAAAACATCAACATTTGTGTAAGACGGGCTGGAGGCTGATGCTACCATTGAAATATCGCCATCATTCACAAGAGAACAAGATTGAACATATTGTTCAGAGTTTCTATCAATAGAGGAACACACTTATACTGCCGCAGACAGATAATGATCCCTGAGCACATTTAATCAGTAAAGACGGTAATAGACTCATTACTGGTAGCAAGAATCACTTCTGCAAGTTAAAAACACTGCTACTTCGCAGTGAATCAGGACACAGACCATAATCTGACAAACAGCGTTGGACAGCTTTTTTCAAATGTGAAATAATCAAAGCTGAAAAACAGCTACATACAATGAAAATGATCTTTTACGGGTTTTCAGTTGTCTGTACAAATAAAGACGAAACGTCTGTCTGTCTGCCAAGAACGCAATAACCAGTTGACATAGAGACATGATTTATCACTCATCAGAAAGGTCGTTCAAGAGGGAGTGTCATGGGCATATTTTTTCAGGGAATCTCCTATTGTTGATGAACTATGACTTAAACAAGCTCATCACACATGTATGGACTCCCAACCAGGAGTACTCCTCCCAACCAGAAGTCCTCCTCCCAACCAGGAGTCCTCCTCCCAACCAGGAGTCCTCCTCCCAACCAGGACCCAACAAACAATGCATGCTTTCAAAGTATTCTGTGTGAGATGTTTTCTTTAGAAGCTAGCATTATCCTGTTAAACCATACAGTTAACCAACTTCAAACTTCAAGCTTTCTCCGGTCCCAACATACGCTTACTTCAACTTGTGAGGAGCTCATATCTCAGATGGAAGTGCTTCCGCATTCCCACACTGAATGGCAACAAAGTTGCTCAGGACACTACAGTGTTTTACAGAAAAGTACAGGTTCAATCTCCTATGCCACTGAATGTGATAATAATCTGAACTTCTACGGGGGAAGAACTTGCTTCCTTATAGTACCTATCTCAAAGTACTTTAAAAGGAATAACTGTGATGGCTATTGACTTACTGTAGGTAAATGTGGCAGCATTTGCACCATTAAGGTACCATAAATTGTCATGAGATTAATGATTAATCAATTTTCAGCTATAGTACAGAAAAAGTCTATTTTCAAATAATGTCAGACTCATAGATCTGAACAGGCAGGTGGGAGCTGATAAACAGCATTGTGTTCTCAATGTGGAACTTGAATCTATTACCTTCTGCCTAGATGCGAGAGTGTTGCCAATTGTACAACAGGATCAGATTTGTCACCAGTTCAATATTTTACCATATCTACAAAAATAGTCAAAAGAAAATCAATGAGTAGGCAGAACTTCATAACTAACTTTTCTGTTTTATTATTCAATATCCATAATTCAATAAGAATTTTTAATACAATACTCTACCTACCAAAATATTTTGTCTTTTCAGGCTATTTGCAATTCCACCATATCAATTATTTAAATAAATACCTACATGAGATAGAACACCACCTTGCATTTATATTGTGTCCTTCACGCAGGAAGGACACTATACAAAGTCAAACAGAAGTATTTGGTTGCTAAGACAAGTTAAATATTCCAAATACATTAAATCACGTGAAATTTTTGATTTGTATATGCAAAAGCAATCGTATTTACTGCTAAATCTCATACAGATTAACAGACTACATGGAGTCTTGTAGCTCAGTGGGTAGAACACTCGCCTTGCAAGCGAGATACCTGGGTTCAATTCCAGGCAGAGCGAAACCTTGGGCAAGTTTTCTTACTCCACACGCCTAATAATAATCCCTCCAAAACAAAAAACAATAATAAATTGGTCATTTTCAATCCACGACTGTTTGTGGGACACTGTTGTGCGCAATTGGCTGCCCGGGTTTAACCCACAAATATACAGTCAATTCGCTTTACAGTATATTCTGTGAAGTGCTTTGAGACGGCGAGAAGACGTGAAAGGCGCTATATCAAATGCAAGGATTATTATTACGTATGGTGTATGCAAAATGCACCTATTCTTCATTCTTCCAATCATATTCCCCGCCCTCTCACATTAGCTTATTTAAAAAAATTAAAGTGGGTTAGTTCTGCACAGGAAAATATTTAAAGCAAATGACTTCAATCAGATATTAAAGTATAACATTGTCTAACAAAATTGATCTGGAAATGGGGACATTTTCTTTACTTTAAAAGGATAGATTTCCTACTTTTGTTTCAAACTAAACAATTAAATTAGATACAGGTCCAAGGCCTACAGTACATAATATCACTAGGGATGTTTGGATTAGCAGAAAGAACAAAATAATTCAATAGCAACAGTTATTTGATACTAATATTGGGTTTTGAAAGGCTGTCGATTGCAGGAGGAAGGCACGATAAAGATAAGAAGCTCCACTGTTCTGAAATGCTGGGAAGAAATGAGTTGCATTAGGAGACTGATGTGTATTACTTAATGGAAAATGTAAAACGAG